AGGGAGAAATAGACAAATATTTTTAATTTTTAAAAATATTTTTCATAATTTTTTTTAGATACATCTAAGTAAGGTGCATCTAAAAAAAATATTTAAAATTTTAAAAATATTCACTAAAAACAAAAACAAAAAAAACACGAAAGTCACTTTTTGCGACAGCAGAAAATGCTGTCTCAAAAAAGCAGAGTATTTGCGACGACACCATTTGCCGTCTCAAAAAAGCAGAGCATTTACGATGGCACAATTTGCCGTCTCAAAAAATGAGAGTATTTGCGACGGCAGAAAATACCGTCGCAAATGCTCGCATTTTTTGAGACTGCAAATTTTGCCGTCGCAAATGCTCTGCTTTTTTGAGACAGCAAATGGTGCCGTCGCAAATACTCTGCTTTTTTGAGACGGCATTTTCTACCGTCACAAAAAATGACTTTTTGAGACGGCAAGTGTGCCGTCGCAAATAGTTCCGTCTCATAAACCCACTTTTCTTGTAGTGCTCATCTAAAAAAAACTACTAAGATAATTCACTGAACTAATAAAGAAGCGGAAGAAAATATACATATATACAAATAACTAATTTTATTAACACATAAATCATACTCACACAACAAATGACCAATTTTATTAATAAGTAGATTAATAATTTTTAATGACATGAAAAATATTTTTAATTAACCATTTTGCTGACAAATAAATCATTAAGTCAATTAACAATTTTTAATGATATGAGAAATATTTTTCAATAAACAATTTTGATAATTTATTATTACATAGGAAAATAGTATTTTTTCTGAGTATCGTGTTAAATTAAAATTTGATAGTTGTAATTTCTAGTATTATAGAACTGATTCATATTTTAAACAAGTTTTATGGTTATATTTGTAATTTGTTAAAAAATAAAATATTTATGTTTCATAATTGATCAAGAATATTTGCGTAATTAGAAAAATATGTTTCATAATTGACCAAGAATGTTTACGTAATTACGAAAAAATCCGTTGCATAATTGACCAAGATTGTTTGTGTAATTACGAAAAAAAACTTTCACTCAACATATAAACCACCATTAATAAATTATTTAAAATGAAAAGAAAAAATCAAAAAGAAAAAATGAACGTTACGCAGTTAAACAGTTCTTATATACATATATATATATATATATATATGTTCTACATTTCTAGCTTTTATATGAATTTATATTTTATACTAGCATAATATCGCTACTATGCACAAATTCACATAAATAACTAAAATTAATTTTAAAATTAAAAAAAAAGGTATTTTTAGAATGTACAATAAAAACGGTTTATAATTAACTTTTTTTTTTTTTTTTTTTTTTTGTATGTGGTTGTTTTATGTAATTGTATGTTCTAAATATTAAAATAACAAAAACATGTGTTATATGGTAAATTTTATTTTGGACTTTTTATTTAGAAAAATGTTTGGGAGCTCTAAATTGGGAGCATTAAAGAAGCTTTAAAGAGTAGGTCCCACTGACTGATGTGATGCTTTGGCCTTAAGTTTTTTTTTTTTCTTTTTTTTTTGAATTTCCACCTCATTAGTGGTTCATTAGTGCTCCCAAATTAGTGAGATGTATATTGTTGTTTTATTTAAGGATTTAAAATTTTCAGATAAGACGTGACTAAAAGATGGACAATATTCTATTTTGAACTTTACATTTAAAGGTTAGACAAAAAAAATTATTTTTGATTTTGATTTAAATATTTTAAATTTTCAAATGAAGTTTGAGATTCTATTTTTGGACTTTCCATTTTTAAAAAATTCAAAATTTGAAATTAGATATAGCTAGATGAGTCAATAATTATATGCCACATATTTTTGGATAAATTGCATTGACCTCCCTTGAAGTTTAATTTTTTGTAGTGAGCCTATGCGTCAGAGCAAATCCTTCCTATTGGCCTATGCTTATATGCTCCACTTTTAAAAATCAAAATGAACAATTTCTTGTATCTGAGGTTAATATCAATCTCCCCTTGCATACACACATTTTTTTTTAGTTCAAAGAAGGGGAAAAATGTTTCATGAGTTGTATTACAAAAGTAAAATAATATGTTTACCCACCCACACAAACATATAACATCAAATTAAACCCATCGTATGACATCAACAAGGGTACCTTTGATTCTCCAAGGACTGCATTGAAATGATCGATTCTGCACAAGGGAACCGGATGAAGAAGATGATGATAAGCTTAAAGAACTTAAATTACGAAGTTTCGCTACAGATTCCCTGTTAGAGCTGGAAGACTCCAAGTTTTTTGATATTTATTTTTGTCAAATTAGTTTATATTTTATCAAATTGATGATTTTGCCCTTGAAATTGAGCAATGGTATATTCAATTGTCCTTATTTGAAACAAGTTTCAAAACTTATGGTCAAATATGTCACAATTAAAGATTCAGAGATCAAAATGATACAAATACCAAACTATAGAAACTTTAAAAGTAATTTGTTCAAGATTAAAATTTGTGGAATTTGCTTGACATATAATTAACCAAGTTGTCTACACCACTTGATTTTTTATTTTTTATTTTATAACTCTGGACGCAATTCCTATCATATACAATGCATTATTGTTATATGGGATCACCTTTGATGTGTGTTTGTTATTGTTATTATAGTTTTATGCATTTTTGGTTATACGTACCTTATATAGTGTTTAGTTATGACTCATTTTTTCTTAATCATAACTAAAAACGATCCAATTATGATATTTATAATAATCAAATTCAGTAATAACATTACTTACGTATAACACATGACCCTTTTATATAATGAGTAAAGGTGAGTTTGTATCTAGTTTTTCTATCTACGTCTCATGAACCCTATTAATTAATAGAGACTAAATTAGGTGTAGATAGTTTTAATAGGTGGTGATCTGGTGTGATGACAAGCGCCATCTTTGTTCTAGTGTTGTGGCCTGAGTTCAATTTACAAAAATTCAGTATTTTTCCAAAAAGTAAAGGTAAGATTAATTTCTTAAGGGGAAATAACAATGTAGGGTAGAAAACCAAAACAAATTTATAAAACATGGGGAGTGCGTGTGAGTTGGATCTCTTCATCTCTATGTAATTTTTTTTTTTTTATCTGTTTCACTGACATATAATCCTCCCTTATTTTAATTTTTTTATCAGTGAAAAAGAGAAACATTAATTGTGAAAACTAATGTACATAAAATATTGACATGAGCATCAATAAAAGAAAGAGACTACAATGTATCAAAACAAAACTAATCAATTCTGAGAGGGTAATTTTTGGGAAAAATTGGGCCGAGCTGTGAATTGGGCTTTGTGGCCCAAAGTGCGAAGGACTGAGTAAAAAGGCCGTAATGATTACTCCGGCCCAATAGAAATGGTTACTCCGGCCCAAGAATTATAAAGTTACTTCGGTTCAAGAATAGTAAAGCTACTTTAGTCCGGGCAAGTTGGAGCTAGGCCGGTCTCGGAGTTAGTCCGGTCGGGATATATCTTGAATAGGTCGGTCTAACGGTATCTTTGAGTTAGACCGACCTAGGAGTTATACCGGTCGCGACTTGTTAAGATTGGTTCAACCGTGCTATGGGTTGAGCAGAGGAGAACCGAGATGAGGAGTAAAAACAGAGCCGAACTAAGAGTAGTTTGGCCTACTCGGCGGCTCTACAAAGCCAGGTTTATCTCGGTCAAATGACAGTTCGACCGTAATGAAAACCATCCCACTTGGTTTAAGCAGTTGGGGGGGGTGTAAAAGGATAAGCATTATCCTTAGGAGTATGAATCTTAGGAGGACTCTGCATGGAGGAATAAAAGTCCTACTAGGATTGTGCCATTTGAAACTTATAAAAGCGCGCAAACATCACGTTGGTGGAGGTAACAGAACACAACACAATTTTGCTTTCTGAAAACATAGAGCTTTGTCTATTTGTCAAGTTTTCTGACTTAGGCATCGGAGAGGTTTCCGGCACACACCCGCCGGCTAGCTCACGTTTGTGTTTTCAGGTGACAAAGCGACGTCGTATTAAGTTGAAATCATGGAGATCATCCTGTTTGTGGCTAGAGAGGGTGAATAGTTCAAATCCTAAGAGTTATTACCAATTAAAATTTATTAAACTAGAGTCATTTCTATTTGATATGCCAAGTTGAATATATCAATCAATCATATTGGAAACCACACAAATCATAGTAAAATTATCCCCACGAGCGCAGCTGATCGGTAATAATTCACTATAAATGAAAAGTTATTACATATTCAAGACAGAAGGACTTACAATCCTAACTCAGTTAGCCTTTGATCTTGACGTTTTTCCATGAACTCCTCATTCGCTATCCACTCCTTGTGGCTCCGAAACTTTTAGACTGCTTTTAATCTAATAGTCAACCACGATCTCAACCAATCTCCACTTGACGTGGTTCTGTTACTCAAATGATCAATGAGTAGGTATGCAATGCACAATTTGTGTGGATTTTTCTATAAAAAAACTCTCAATCATGAAATATATTATATCTTTTGAAAAACATGAAGCACTCTTTAAATGGTTGAAGAAAGGTTTCTTGTTAAGGCTTTTGCTCTCCATAATGAGAATTTTTCTCTCAAAATTCTACAAAATATACCTAGCATGTATTCATAATTTCAGTAGGAAAAAATGCCCCAAGACAAAAAAAAAAAAAAAAAAAAACCAAGCCCTTTAGATTTTTCTTTCCCTGTCAATCAGGTGTGTTCCTCTTCAGCTCACTTTGAGCTGGAGCCTCTAGAAGTTTCTTCTCCAGCAACTCTTATGGTTCATTCAACCAGGGCCTTCAGGTTTTGACTCTTAGTCATGTTTTCCACAACTCCAAAAACCTTCCATGACTAGAAACACGTTAAATAGGTCAATTGGTGCCAAGCCATATCCAAAAGATGTATATCTCATTTAATTTATATGGGATCCATTTATTAGAAAATTAGGTACTTCAAAAGACAATTTAACATGAAAAAATTATTCTACTATTATATATATAAAGCAGTGGGTTGACATATCCTTATTTAAGCAAAAATGAATACAATTGTCATGCTACCATCTTCTTCATCAAAGAATAGTTGATTCAAGTAGTTCAATTCCTTCAAGTAAAATGAAGAGCAGAATTAATCTCAACAGGTCTGTTGAATTTTACTTTTTATGAAAAAAATGAAATCCTTTGGGTAGTTTTGTAGCTCAAAGAAAGATATTCGTCATCCAAAATGATCATGACAATCTTAATCTATATATTATGATTTGTCATACAAAATTGTACAGGTGTTGTCATCGAAGAATGAAAGATCCAGTAAACAAATTATGAGAAGAGACCCCACCTCACCTGGGAAGGAAAGGCCAATCACCAGTAGTCACCACAAGAGCAAGCACCTTCCTTAAAGTGGTGAAACCGATTTGCATCACGAACAATAATCATCCTCTGCATAATTGCAGACACAAATTTACTAAATGTATGACAATCACCACAAACTCTAAGATTCTTTGTAATCCGAATAGGGGTTCCCTCAGGGGTGCTGACAAGGCCAAATGCGATTGCCAACTTCTCGCTATGAGTGTACAAGACACCTAGCTTGAGCTCCTCATCCACATCATGCAACACAAAATTTGTATCAGGGACATAACCAGCCAACTTCAATTTTTTACTCAATATTTTCAGCATCTTATATATCTCTTTTGACCGGGTATGAGTATGGTCTCCAACGCTAAATTGATGGATCTTGTCATCCACCTCAATCCAAGTCCAACCCGGAATCTTTTTCAATCTCCTATGATTCATTAGTTCCCTAATCTTGGCCACATCTTCCCACTTACCTGCTTTAGCATAAATATTTGAAAGCAATACATAGTGCCCTGCGTTTTGGGGTTGTAGTTCAAGCATAGATTTTGCTGCCTTTTCCGCCAACTCTACACGATTATGAATCCTACATGCCCCAAGCAATGCACCCCACATCCCCTCATTTCTATCGACACTCGTATCCTCAATCAAATTCAAGGCCTCTTCAAGTCTCCCAGCACGGCCCAAGAGATCAACCATACACGTATAGTGTTTCACATCCCGCATCACAGAGTAATCTTCCCACATCGAGTTGAAAATTCGAAGACCCTCTTCAACCAAACCTGCATGACTACAAGCATATAACAAAGAAACAAAAGTGATCCTATTTGGTAATATCCCACTTCTTAACATCAAAGGGAACAAATCAAGAGCATCACGGCCTTTCCCATGATATCCATAAGCTGCAATCATTGCACTCCATGTTATAACATTCTTTTCTCTCATCCTGTCAAAAATCTCCCTAGCAAAATCAAGGCTCCCACACTTAGCATACATGTCTATCATCGCTGTTCCCAAAACTACATCCAATGAAAAATTCCTACTCCATATGTACTCATTAACAAGTCTAGCCTTATGCAAAGCCCCCGTTTTGGCACAAGCATTCACAACAGTCACCATAGTGACCTTATCGGGTACAACATCTTCCTCTCTCATCCTATCAAACAGCACCAAAGACTCATTAGCATTCCCGCACTCGGCATATGCACCAATCATGACAGTCCAAGTCACAGGGTCTCTTTCAAGCATTCTATCAAACAACTGCTTTGCATCTTCAATAACCTGACATTTCGCATACATATCCACAAGTGCAGCCACCACAAAAATGTCTGTATGCAAAGCAAATTTGTAAACAGTGTGATGGATCAATCTACCCATCTGTAGATCCATTGTATCCCTACAAGCCCTTATCACAAATGGCAAAGTATAGTTATCGGGTCTCTCCCCAGATCGAATATACTCTCTAAATGTCCCAAAACAATTCATATAATCACCAATCTTGGCAAACCCACCAACCATTACACTCCAAGAAACTGCGTCTCTATCTCTCATCACACCAAACAACGCATAAGCATCAGCCAAAGCTTTATGATAAGCATAAATGTAAAGAAGCTTGTTTGTCACAGCAAGGTTATGGAGTAGCATCCCATTGACAGCAACTTGGGCATGAACTTGTCTGATATGGGTAGGATTTTTGCAGCTGAGTAGTTGAGAAATGTAGTGTTTTGGGTCTAAAGAGTGTGAAAATTGAGAAATTGATGATGTTTCTGGTACATGGGTGGTGGGAGTTGAGAAAGACTGATGAGGGCTTAGAGGTTGAGTTATGGAATCCACCATGGATGTAGCAAGAGAAGCTGAGAAGAAACCATGGATTTCATGGGTAGAGCCAAGAAAGCTTTGGGGTTTGAACTTGAACATGAGACGGTTAATAACATAACTGGAGTAGTAGCTTTTAACGGTCGATAGAATGCTCATGGTTGCTTTTTTGTTTAAAAAAAAAATATTGATAATAAATAAATAATAAATTAATTAAATTAAGAAAAAGGCTAGAGGTATCAAATGATTTTACTAAATGTCTCAATGAGACCTAAACTTTTGTGGTGTCCACATCCATATATGGGACATTTAGTAAAATGCTTGGTAGAAATTTTAGTATCTCTAACATTACTTTTAGTCTCCATTAGTTTTGACTTAAAATATTTTTTTTGTAAATTAATTTTACATAGAAAAAATATTTTTGTTTTTGTTTTTTGATGTTTAGTTGACACTTGAAACAAAAGCCTTTTATTACTTAATAGAGAAATTTTGATTCAATAAAATGTCATTTATGAATTTTTAGTGAACTAAAATATTTATTTAAAAAAACTAAACATATTGAAAATAATAGTGAGTGAGAGTCAACTTTATAAAAATTGACTTACGAAAGTTTTGAAGGTAAATCTTCTTTGAAAAAATGATACAAAAATATTTTTTAAAAAATATTTTACTTGCTTTTTGTTCAACCAAACAACGAAAAATGAGTAATATATTTTTGACAAAAATATTTTACATCAAAACAAACGAAGCTTTAAATTAAATTAAATTAAATTTCACTTTTATTTCCTAAATTATTGCTAATTTTTATTTCATCTCTAAACTATTGATTTGGTCTATTTAGTTTCTAATATTTTTAATTTCTATTCATGTAATCCAATTAAAAACGACTGTATAAATCAATAATTATTAAATCCTAATTTGATGGGAAAATTTATAATTTATAATTTGAATAACGTAATTTATACAATCAAACACCTATTAAATTGGTTGTAGGATATATAGTTTATTCAAAATAATAAGAAAAATGAGTGTCTAGTTGTATAATTTAAATTGCTCAAATTTTGAAATAACATTTTTTTTATTAAATTAAGTTTCAATAGTTATTGATTTGCATAATCATCGGCAATTGGATTGCATAAACATAAATTAAAATATATTGAGAGGGTAATTTTTGGAAAAAATTGGGCCGAGCTGTGAGTTGGGCTTTGTGGTCCAGAGTGCGAAGGACTGAGTAAAAAGGCCGTAATGATTACTCCAGCCCAATAGAAATGGTTATTCCGGCCCAAGAATTATAAAGTTACTTCGGTTCAAGAATAGTAAAGCTACTTTAGTCTGGGCAAGTTGGAGCTAGGTCGGTCTCGGAGTTAGTCCGGTCGGGATATATCTTGAATAGGTTGGTCTAACGGTATCTTTGAGTTAGACCGACCTAGGAGTTATACCGGTCGCGACTTGTTAAGATTGGTTCAACCGTGCTATGGGTTGAGCAGAGGAGAACCAAGATGAGGAGTAAAAACAGAGCCGAACTAAGAGTAGTTTGGCCTACTCGGCGGCTCTACAAAGCCAGGTTTATCTCGGTCAAATGACAGTTCGGCCGTAATGAAAACCATCCCACTTGGTTTAAGCAGTTGGGGGTGTCAAAGGATAAGCATTATCCTTAGGAGTATAAATCCTAGGAGGACTCTGCATGGAGGAATAAAAGTCCTACTAGGATTGTGCCATTTGAAACTTATAAAAGCGCGCAAACATCACGTTGGTGGAGGTAACAGAACACAACACAATTTTGCTTTCTGAAAACATAGAGCTTTGTCTATTTGTCAAGTTTTCTGACTTAGGCATCGGAGAGGTTTCCGGCACACACCCGCCGGCTAGCTCACGTTTGTGTTTTCAGGTGACAAAGCGACGTCGTACGGAGGAGCGTGGACTTAGTCAACAGGATTATACGAGAATGAGTATTTCTTCCCCGTACAATATATATATATATATATATTAGTCACACAGAGAATTATTTAGAGAAATAAATTAAAAATAAATTTTTTAATTTTGTTTTTAAAAAAACGTGTAAGTAATATAAAAAATACATATATATACTAGCCGTATGTGCATAGGTGTGCTGTTAAACCTATAAGAACTTATAAATTTTTATCTGAATCTGAATTAGATTAGTTACAAGAAGATTTGAGACCAGACTATAGATCCAAAAAAAAGAGAGGATTTGGGACAAAACAGTTGCAAAAGGCAACATGAGGAGCAAAGATCCTCTAGAGTTTTTTTTTCCTAAAGTTTCCTAGAGTAGTGCATTGTGTGGTTGAAATTTAATGACAAGTCACATCAATTTTTTAATATTAAATCTCAACCACACAATACACCACTTTAGGAAACTTTAGAAAAAAAACACTCTAGAGGATCCTTGGTGCAACATGAGAGGCTTTGGGAAAATTAAAAAAACGTGACATCTATAACAAATTTGATTTATGTTTTATATAATAGTAAGTATATATGTAGTTAAGGGGAAATTCAATGGTTACACGTCTCTTTTGCGGTGTGTTTCATATGTAATTTTGGTTATGATTTTGTATCTTTAGTTATGACTTATGATGTTAGTTATAACATATTATAATATTAGTTATAACATTATTTTGATTATATTTTATGTGATATTTGATTATAACTTTCTTTTTTTAATTTTTATAACTCTCATACAATTGAATTACGACATTTATAATAATTAAACTTACAAATGTTAAAATTTATATATTTTAAAGATGTGTACCATAGTATTATTTGTAATTAAGAGTGATGCAACTAATTATTATTGTGAGATGTGGCAATATCAACATATAAGGAGAGATTTTATATGATTAAAAAACACTAATTTGATGGCAATTTTTAGGATAGCGATCTAAATTGATAATGTTTTGACTTATTTTCAACTTTGCGAAACGTGTAAACCATCTATACAAAATTAATAAAAAATAAAAAACTTTACGAACTGTCCATTCAAAGTGCAGTAAAAAAATAAAAAGTGGTAATTGCAACGACGAAAATGACTGGTAGCTCGAAATTTGTGGCTCGATTTTGGCTCGACAGTTCAAAACGACGTCGTTTTGGGTTGTCTTTTTTTTTTTTTTTTTGATTATAATTTTTTTTTTTAAATTTTTATAACTCTCATAAAACTGAATTATGACATTTATAATAATTAAACTCACAAATATTAAAAATTATATATTTTAAAGATATGTACCATAGTATTATTTGTAATTAAGAGTGATGCAACTAATATTTTGTTTTGTCGAGGATTATTATTGTGAGATGTGGCAATATCAACATACAAGGAGAGATTTTATATGATTAAAAAACACTAATTTGATTGCAATTTTTAGGATAGCGATCTAAATTGATTAATGTTAGACTTATTTTCAACTTTGCGAAACGTGTAAGCCATCTATACAAAATTAATAAAAAATAAAAAACTTTACGAACTGTCCATTCAAAGTGCAGTAAAAAAATAAAAAGTGGTAATTGCAACAATTATACTTTAAGAGCACTAATAAAAATAAGGAAAAATTCAAATAAAAAAATCAGGATTTAGCAAAATATTTTCTGAATTTTTAATTTTATTAAATTTTCAATCTAAACCATCTCCCTATTTTTTTTAAGTAAAACCAACAAAAAAATAATATTTTAATCATTAAACTCAACGAAAAATTATATTTTAAACACTAAAATTCAGTCAATTATACTTAAAAAAATAAGCGAATGATTTAAATTAAAAACAAGTCAAAAGATTAAATTTTAAATTGACAAAATTAAAAATTCAATATTTATTTTATTATAAAAGTCAAATTTTAGATTTTATTTAAATATTTTTTCCTAAAATAAGCAGAATTATTTTTTCATGCCACTGGGTTTTTAATTTTCTTCATGATGAATTATCCCATTAAAAATGTAGGGAGAAATTTACAATTAATCTTTGCGTATGACAAAAAAATGATTTCTTGGACTATTTTGGTACGAATGAGTGGAATGAAGTAGAAATAAAATAATAATAAGAATAGAATACAAAATTGAATGAAATTGAATGCTCATTTTTATTCTCATTCTTTTTTTTGGTTGATAACATGGAATGATAGAAGAATTGATTAACAATTCTTATTCTCATATTTGATTATGCTTATTAAACTAATGCTATATAATAAAATTTTTATTTTTCAATTATTTTTTTTTAACAAACTAGTAATAATCAATTTAAGAAATCATATAAATCATAATAGTGTTGATAGTAGTAGAAGTGATGGTCTGAGTGCTGGTGGCAATGGTGACGGTGGTGGTGGTAGTGGCGACGACTGTAGTAAGGTGGTAGTGGTGGTGTGATTGTTGTCGAGGTGGTGGTAGTGATTAATGGTTGTAGCAATGGTAGTTGTGGTGATGTGGTGATGGTAGCTGGGACAACAATGGTGATGGTGATAATGTGATGATTATGGTAGTGATAAAGGTGGTGGTTGTGGTTGTGATAATAGTGGCAATAGAGTGATGGTTGTGGTGATGGCTATGGTAATAAGAGTTGTGGTGCTAGGTGGGAATGGTGGCAGTACTTAAGTGGTAATGTTGTATTGTGATTCTATAATGGAATAAAATAGTTATTCTTTAGATTGAAGGAAGGAATATACATTTCTTACAATTTATTAGAATAGCCACTCCATTAAAATCATCATTTTTACTTCGATAAGGCATACCAAACAAAAGAAAGAAAATGCAAAATTAGAATAAACATTTTATTTCAATCCATTCCATCATATCAAACATAAGTTTTTCTTTTTTATCCTTCAATAAAAGAATAATTACAAATATAAAAAACATTCCATTAAATTGAATAGTAAAAGCCTAATAATAAGCTCAACAACATGGCAATTAGCCCAAAATTGAAACGAAACAAACAAATATATACAATCCCATAATGAGAAAAATAAACACTATAAATGCTATAAAACTTATTTTCTTAAGAATTGTATTTACAATCTCACACTATAAAGTTGTGCTATATATCTATTAGGCCAAATATTTTAATTTTTTAATTAAAAGTACAATAGAGTGCCAACTTAACTAGCTAGATGTCGAGGAGTTATTTAGTTTGTTTTCTACTTTTTTTTTCCTTCAATTTTTATCAACGAAAAGGAGCAGGACATGGAAACTGTGAATCAATTTTCGGGTTAGCTTGGCCAACCCAATTGGCTCACCATGTTAGTAAATTTGTATTAGTTAATCTTGTAGCAAATTGCAAAGATTTTACTCTCACAACCCAACTCGTTAACTTACAATTCTAAACTTCTATCGATTTTCACAATAAACTCATCACTTTTCCAAATATTCTTAACAACAGAAAACATGATTTTTAATATTAATATTCATAAAATTATCACTTAGGACTTATTAAGTAATAATGCTAACCAATAGCTTGGTTGGACTAGCTAGTAATTTTTCTCTTTATTTTTATTTTTTCATCTTACAGTTGTTTCAGCCCTCTCTAGCGTGAGGGAGCTTCTATATACACACACCTAATCTCCTCTTTGCACATCCTTCTCATTACACACACCCAAAAAATTAATTCCTAATTAATTTCCTCACTACACACATGGTGAGTTCCAAATGTACCCTCATACACACACACACACACACCCGACCCCAAATACACACACCTATTGAATCTAAAGCACATCTTCAACCTTGAAGCATTCCATCACATAGAAGCTGAAGCACCTATTGAAACTGAAGCACATCTTCAGATTTTCATTGAAGCATTCCATTTCATTACCTTGTGCAACCCAAGTGTGCATCCCGTTGAAGCATTCCATCCACGAAGCTGCATCCCGTTGAAGCATTCCATCATATTTTCAATCCTCATTAGGTGAGTTTACTTTTGAATCATCATTCCTATTCAATCCTCATTTTCATCTGTAATGTAGAGTTTTTCACTTGGAATGTAGAGTTTTTGATTTGGAACTGGTTAACCGAAATATAGCAATGTGTTTGGACGTAGAAATCCGAAAAAATTCAATATGTTCATCAGTAGATTTCCGAAAATGTTACATTGTTTCGATAGTCAACTTCCGAAAAAATTGAATTTGGACAACAGTCAACCTCCGAAATTATGTTTTTCTTTCGGATTTCAACTTCCGAACATAATATGTATTTTCGGTTGTGAACTTCCGAACAGGTTTTTTTTTTTTTTTCCCCTTCTTAATTAAAACACTTAATTATAACACTTAATTAAAACACTTATTATAATTTACACACACTCTCATTAATTTTACACACACTCTCTTTATCTACACACACACTCATTACACACACTTATTATTTTTTGCAGATAATATGGATTCTGAATATCAACAACGTGTCCCACCTACTGCTTCAAATAGACGACGTCGTGAACTAGATGTAGACCATGAACGGGGACTGTAACAACCCTCGTCACTGTGTATCGATAACTACCGATTACTGAATAAACTGAGACTGATTGTGATTGATGACTGAAGTAATTGAACTGATTGAAATACTGAACTGACTGACTGAAATCTGAAACTGATTGATTGACTGTATCTGTTTAAATGCGTTTTCTATCTGTTGATTGTTAATTGATTTGTTCGTGTTTTTATAGTTAAATTGCGAATTAAAGGCCTTATCGGCGGCCGAACCGGAAACCGATTAGTGTTTTATGATCATCGTGATTTATGTGATTTTATGGTGTATTTATCTGAAAACTGATTAGGTATGATTAAATTAGATTAAAATGAGTTAATTGCATTGTTACACTTATTTACCATTAGTGCCACTTAAGTGGCCTATCATCTAACCATTTGAGCCTTACACACTTGATCACATAGCACACTTCATCAACCCTTTTCCCTTGTTCTTGCCGACCATAGAGAAAGAGAAACTAGAAGAGTTGATTTCAACTTGTTTCATTGTGAATTGGCTCAAATCTTGGTAGAATTGAAGGTTGATAGCAACATTGACCCATAATTCAAGACCTAAGGTAGATCATTGACCTTCTTTAATGTGTATTTGAACTTATTCTTGCATAATTCTTGGGTCTTTAGTGATTTAAGGCATGAATTGGTTCAATAGTGTTGAATTGAAGCTTAATCTTTGCATGCATGGCATATTCTTGCATTTTTGAGGTTGTTCTTCATGGATTTTTGCATGCATGTCCATGTTAATGCTTAGGACCATGTTTTCATCTTGTTTTTGGAACAATTGGCTCCTTAAAGCGTGTAATTGAAGCTTTGAAATGATTTAAATTCATGCATGTTTGCATGTTCTCCATATTCATGAAAATTGGTTTCAAATTGAGTTGTTTGAAACGCCCTTGGGCCTTGATTTTACAAATTGAGCTTTGAATCATGTTAAAGTATGAGTTTTGGGATGTTTTCTAGAAAATTGGCCCAAGAGGATCGAAATTTATGGTTTAAAACTTGGTTTTGAGCTTGAGGTTCAAATCTGGAATTTCTAGAATTTGGACTCACGCTCGAGCGGGGTAACTGGCGCTCGAGCGTGGAAATCGTGCTCCCAGCATTTTGTTCTGTTTTGAAGTCCGCTCGAGTGGAATAATTGACACTCGAGCGGAACATTGTGTCTCATGCTCGAGCAGGTGTCGAGCACCCAATCGAGCGTGATTTTCACCTATCCAGCACTTTTGACTGTTTTGCAGAACACTCGAGCGGAAACCTTTGTCTGCATGTCCGCTCGAGCGGAGTAACCTACGCTCGAGCGTGACCCCTGTTTTCTGAAAATGTTTTTAAAGTGCATCTTTGCATCCTCATCTCATCCTAGGCATTATTAGGCCTAGTTTAAGGCATCTTAACGAGGATATAGATGTAGAACACACCGAGGCAAATTAGGGATTAAGTTATTATCTTTCCCAACTGTATAGCTTAGTGTGTGTTCAATCTGTAACTGTGTAGGGTTGGCTTTCCGAGGAGACGCTCTAGCCTTACTGTAGCCCAAAACTCTGTGAGTAACAACTGTGTAAAGATATGTTCAAAACGATTATCTTCTGAACAATTGAACTGTACTGTTTTCTGAACTGATACTATTAATTGAATGAATGTATGTCCTATATTCTGAACTGTATTGTGGCATCCTTAGCAACTATTGTTTACTGTTACTGTTGCAGAGATCTTTGTCAGTTCCCTTGTTGGAACCACTACTGTTACTGATTGATGGCCATCATTTACTGTTCGGTCTTTTAAGACCTACTGTTTACTGTACTGTTATGCTAATGGATGTACCACATATGACTGTATCAACTGAACGACTGAAATACTGATTTAATGAACTGTTTTCATTACTGTAAGGACATTCATTCTTAACCCCTTTACGCATTGTGTTATTCACTGGGCTTTAGCTCACTGCTCATATATATATGTAGGTGTATAGACACCAGACTGTGGTTAGAAGCATCAGGGTAAGCTCCAGTTTTGTCAAGCCAACCACTGTGCCTCACTGCAAGGTTCCAAGCCTGTCAAGCTACGGCTTAGGGGTGTTTTTAATTTCCCCCTTCAGTCTCTGTAACTGTTTTGTTTACTGTATAGTGCTGTTTAATAGGGATTAGGTCCCTGAACTGAATGATTGTATATATGTGCATACTATTTTGTCTAACTGTATATAGATTTGAATGAAAAGTCTTTTTGGCATACAAACTTTCACAGCTCATTGGACATTGTTTATTTACTATATTGGCTTCGCCCAGCCCCTGTACTCTGTATTACTGTATTACTGTTAAGCAGGCCTTCGGTAATCTCGGATTACTGGCCGGTTACGGTGCTAAACCCATAAGGGCGGGTTTGGGTCGTGACAGGGACGAGGGCGTGGGCGAGGACGAGGTCAAGGTCGTGGTCGAGGTCGTGATCCAGTTTCGGTACAATATGATATTCCTAGTGCCAGTCAAAGTCGGGGCCGAAGCCAAAGACGAGTTGAAGGTTATGATATGCCTGACATTGCTGTGGAGGATACCTCCTTACCTGATTCTCCTCCTGTCCAGGAAGAGTACCTTACTCATGCTTTTCCAGGTGGACCGACTGATCCGTCAATACTGCGGAGTTTCAATAGTCATGTGGCTGTAGCTATTTGGCACGGGGAGGTAAACATTCCTCAGTAAAAGTGAAATTAATTTGTATATGAGTTTTTTTGTGTGTGTGTGTTATATGGTAGTTTGTAATGAGATATCATTTGTGTTGCAGGAACGAGGGCCCCTAAAGTGTCATAATCACTCTTCCAAGATCCTTGCATGGCCATGGTGGTTAGTAGAGAACAACACCAGATTCAAAGCCATTATTGAGCAGTCTGGACTGTCACAGTTAGCTCGTTGCACTTATCGGTTTGTCAACAAGCTTCTAATCTCCAGTTTTGTTGAGAGATGGTAACCTGAGACGAACACATTTCACATGACAGTTGGTGAGATGACCTTGACCCTGGATGATGTTGGCACTATTCTTGGCCTTCCCATTGTAGGCAAATCAGTCAGCATACCAGATGTGACAGATCATCCCGAGGACGTGTTTTGGGCTTCACCTCCGACTCAACAAGAAAAGTGCTTCCCAGATATACAACCTCTTTCAACTTCTTCAAAAGCTCCAACCGCATGGTTCTATCACTTTCATTAAACTTGTTCACAAACAACTCTACTTCTGCATGACAAGTCACCTCTGTTTCCTCTTCTTTCTTGCATATGGAGATATGAAGTTGCCTCCACTGTGAGTGTATGGTAGCAAGTGGTATATGACGATCTTGTCTGATGTAGTCAGCAATCTCATGGGCGCAAGGTAAACCATGAGTGTGGCGAAGGACGCATCCACAAGCTTCAACATCAATACCAATGGAATTGGCTCTCTTACTCTCAACAAGCAAATACTCCAATGCAGAGATAGACACATTACCCCATAGCTCCCTGAATTGAGAAGGTTTAAATTGATGTTGCACAACAGTTAGACTTTTCTCAAACGAAGCCTTGATATTAGTGTGTTGCAACTCAAGCAGACTGTGTATTTTCTCAAATGATGCCTGAAATGAGACTTGACATGAACCCAATTGTCTTTTAAGTTTTGCATGTGCACTCTCAGCCCTGTTCAATTCAATGTAAGTCAAGTTAAAATCAAGTACATGACACTTATTAATAACATATTGAAGAAAAGTAATCTTACCGGTTCGTTGTAACATTGCCACAATGCATACACGTGTCTGTCCGTGCCGCCACAAATTTGTGTTTGTAAGGAACCAACCAAGTATCCATGACGTATTTGACTGCATTAGGATAACTACTGAATTCCTTAAGTAATAATTTAAGACGCTCCTCGTATTGAATTTCAAAAGATGAATACACTACAGAGTTCCACTCATGGTTGAACTTCTCCCATTTTTGCTGTGTCTCAAACATTTTCTTGCATTTGGTCAACACATTCTTACTGATATGCCAACGACATAATAAATGTCTGGCACTCGGGAATATCTTCTGTATGGCATTCATCAAGGCTAGCTCTCTGTTAGTAACAATAACTGTTGGCACAACAAACCCATCCATGACATCACGCAATGTAGCTAACACCCACGCATAGTTATCGACCGTCTCATACTGTAAGTATGCGAAAGCTACAGAGAATGTCATTTCAGTTGATGTCACTCCCACAATTTCAAGAAGAGGAAGCCGATACCTGTTGGTTTTATATGTGCAATTCATAATTAATATATGTGGGAAAGACCGAAATAAGTCCAAACTGGTAGGATGTGCCCAAAACAAGTCTGTCACAGTCATCATGGACTCTTCAGACCGATGGCGCTCAATGTAATTATACTTGGCCAATTCACCCAATAAGTGTTGCATCTGTGATCTTTCAGCTCTCTGTACCACCCTGTTTCGATGGCGTACATTGTAAATGGTTTTAAGTGTGCTTACTTTGAGGGTATCTCGCTGTTTCAAGGTTACTAGGATTTCTTTTGGCCGAACCATGCTCTTTGACATATCCATTAACAATGCTTTCTCATCCTTTGATAGCCTCCCCACGTATGAATGTCCCTCGAGGTGCTCCACAAGTGGATGATTATGCAATCCGCATACACGGTCAATGTCCATTCATCATGTGTGGTAAACCTGTGAGCCCTCATATCAAAAGGACAACCACACTTCTTCGTACCAGTTATTCTTGATGTATTGTTGCCATCATGTTTTAACTTCTTTGTTGCTCTATATTGGCCACTCCTCTCACAAGCAAGATACATCTGGGTCTTTTTTTCCCTCCACCATAGTCTGATGTTTTGATTACAATGACCAAACCATTTCTCTTTCCAACTTCACGTACCTAGTTTAGCAATTCATCCTTACTTTTGAATACCTACAAAGTTAAATAAATATTATCAAACATTTACATTTCGTGAGCAATTCGAAACATAATCGTTATAATTTCGTAGACTGAACCTGTTCAGTTGTGAATTGAGTGGTGTAATCTAACACAAAATCCGCGCAAACCTGACTTCCTTGAGTTGACACATATTCCTGCATGTTTTGTATAACATTACAAATTTTTAATGGCATTATAAAGATTAATTTGCAATTTGAAACTGTAAATTTGGTATGCAATTTGCAAATTTGGAATATAAAATGGAAAAAAAAAAATTTACTTCATTCGGAAGTAGTTGTTCGAATTTTTTTCAAATTTCGGAAGTTAAATGTTGTAAAAGTTAACTTTGTTCGGACAACAACTTCCGAATTTAAATACATTGTTCGGACAACAACTTCCGAAATTTATTACTTTGTTCGGACATCAACTTCCGAAAATAAATAATTATTTCGGTAGTAGATTTCCGAACCAAATAACACAATTCGGCTCTGGTTATCCGAACGACGCTGGGAAAAAAAAAATTGAACTCACATTTCCTTCGCTCTGCTTCACATGAACACTTATTTGCTGATTTTCAGAAGGCAAATCCTCCATAACAATGATGTTTTCCCTACGAATGACGAAGGTTGATGAATGAGAAGCTGCAGTGCATGTGCAATACGGAAATGCCAAAGCCTTTTGGTTTCACTTCTAGCTCAATGAACTTGGAAGAACCTATGAATGACACTGCATCCACAAGCTACACACACGATGCAACAGATGTGAACTCTGAGGTGTGCATTGAGATGTTTTCAATTAACAATGGTGTCTAAAATAGTAATTTCACTTAGGGATAAAATTATAATAAAATTAAATATCATTAAGTGTGTGTATTGAGGAGATTAGGTGTGTGTATATAGAAGCTCCCCCGGCGTGACTAGGCTTGCCCTTATGAGAGAAACTCGGATGAAACAAGAATTTGATATGCGTTTTTTTGGGTTACAATTTGAATGGTGAAGAAAATGAGATATGATTAACTAGGAGAAAAATGAAAAAAAGAAAAATGTTTGGTTTGTGTTTCAGGAAAAAGAAAAAAAAAATCAGAATTAATTTTATAAAATAGATGTAAAAAATATAATTTAAAATTTTTAAAAATTATTTCTAAAGTGTCAAAATATAAAATTATACAAAAATGATAAAAAAAAATTATTATTTTTTATTTTTTTTCACCAAATTAATTTTTAGATTTATAAAAAAAGTTCTCAAATAAATTTCTAAAAATTAAACAAAACATAGCCAATGTAGCGTAATAGGTCAAACAAAAAATACAAAGGGTCATCTCGCCGCCCATTTCTCTCCCTAAATTATGTTGAATATTTTAACCTTAATTTCTAAAAAATTGATATTACGTTGTATTTGATTGGGAGATTTGAGAAAAAAATTAGAAAAAAAAAAGAAAAAAAATGTGTGAAATTAGATAAAATATAAGTATATTTTATTCACATTTCACTTACATTTTTTTTTTCCTTTCCAAATCTTTTTTCAAATCCCTCAATCAAACACAACGTTTTGAAGACCTACGAGTTGGTCCTAATAGATAGATTTATTGTTCAATAGGTCGTATCATAATTAATGATATTTTTCATCAAATATTATTAAAAAAACCACTAATTGTTAATTTTCAGCGATAATGTAAAAATTATTAAAAAAAATGTCACTAATTATAAATGTTGACGACTGTTTAAAAAAAAATCAAAAAAAGTTACTAATTTTTAACTTTCAGCGACAGTTTAAAAAATTTATTACAAAAAAACTTCACCAGTTGTAAGTTTTAATGACAATTTATAAAAATTGTAACAAAAAAAGTCACTAATTATTAATTTTTAAGTAACGTGTAAAAAATCGTCACAAAAAATTATTGTTAGTGACAATTTTACTATGACTTATTTTCAATCGTCACAAAAAAGTCATTAAACATTTTAAAAAGTCACCATAACTTGTTATATCACTCTTTCTATTTTTCTGAATATCTTTTTTGTTAGTGTTTTTATTTTAAGCAGTAAATAGTAGAGATTCTATACTTTATTCCCCATAGAAAAAAGATAGGGATTATGAAATTTTTTTCATGAAAATAATCATGAAAGATTTGTAACCCTTAGATTACCTTGATTAGTGTGTGATACTTTATTTTAAGTGTAATCTAAGGGTCATAAATCTTTCATGATCATTTTTATGAAAGTTTTTCATAATACTTAGCATTGATGTTCTCGATATTATAGAGGTTGGGTAATTCAATGCAAGTCCAAATCCTCAAGTGATTTTTAATAAAGTAATCTTAGAGTTTTTTTTATATGATTAAGATTTTTTTTTAATGTGACTATTTTTTTTTTTTTTGAGAACATCAGAAATGAAAATACAAACAAAATAGCACCAAAAAAAAAAACAGAGCAAGGGAAGGCAAATCGAATCATAAATTCTACGATATGCCGTCCCAATCATGTCCGCTACTATTTAGCTCCAAACTTCAGCGGGTGGATCATCCACCACCACCAAATGCTCCATTTGATCAGCCCCCATGTTTGCAAGGAGATCTACACATTTGTTGCCTTCACGCAGGAAATGACGAATGGTCCAATTACACCTACGGATCAAGTGTGGAGAGTCATCAACAATGCTGCGGAAAGGGCAGGTTTGGGGAGGACCTTCGGTGAGCAGTACTTCAACCGAAGTAGAATCAGTTTCACAATGACTTCAAGCATTCCTTTTTCCAATGGGATTATCAATAATGCTGTTATACTATTGTACTACCAATTTAGTATTATTATACTTTAAACTTTTATATATTGCTCTACAAAAATTCATTTTAAAGGATCCGGATTCAATGCTATGGTACACGTATGCAAATTATGATATTTGTGTCGTTTATTACCACAAATGTTATAACTCAAATCAAACCTATGGAATCCCAACTTAAAAAATACAATAATAATAATAATAAAATTATTAAAACCAAATATCATATAAGGTATAATCAAAGAATTTTTTACTCATAATCAAAATAATATTATAATTAATATCACAATATGTATAATTAAATCATAACTAACACTCTGATATATCATAATAAAAAATATTAAAGATCATAACCAAAAATTTTAAAGATCATTACTATAGACATATGATGCACCAATAGAATTTCTCAAATGAAAAATGATTTATCTTCCTCTCCCCTGCTTATGAGTACCGGTCTTATCAACAAGCATTAACCAAGTTGGAGGGATATGATGATATGGGCTTTAACTCAATTGCCTAGTCATGGTGGTCAACAAGAAAAATAGTGCCATATTTAGTAATTCAAACACCACATTTTATTTTTTACCAATTAAAACATAAAAATGATGCTAACAATGTTTTATTTATGACTTCCCACACTACTCTTTATTATATATATCAATTTACACAAAATATTTAAAGAACATTCCAAAACTTTACAAATATAATTACTCAAAAAAAATTATTAAAATAACTACTGCAATAACTTAACCTTTTTGAAAACAGATCTCTTCTGAAGAATTCGTTCAAAATGCTATTCAAAAGCAAGCATCACCAACCAACCGAAAGTTCGAAAAGGAGGGTTGGACGGCCGACCTTTGTCGATACTGACAATTTTTTTTTGTAAAAACTACTGAAAATATTTTAATTAAAGAAGCATTCCCCCAACTTAACTACAAATTGCCAAAATCCAAAAGGTTTTCTTTAAATAATGGGTTCCTGTGCCGAGAGAAGAAAGATTCTTCCAACCTTCTAAATCCATTTTACAGCTTGGATTATTCTATTTATTTATTAATGCAATTGGACCAAATAGAATAAACACTCAAACCTCTCATTCATTTTAGTTGGTATCACATCTCAATCCCACTCATGAAAGCAACCAAAACCACTCAGAGAGAGAGAGAGAGAGAGAGAGAGAGATTAATTAGACATACAAAGAGCAATATGGCCATAAAACCCAGAACCAATTATGAAAGCAACAATCCAAAATCCACTCTGTTTCAACCAATCAATAATGTTTTATCAGACTTAGAAACCAAAAGTACGGACAAAAAATATCTAATTACAGGGCCAGCCAGACTCCCAAACAAACAACAAATTCACAATTATTCACACCTGACAGATACCACCCAAACAAAAAAAGAACAGTATGAAAATCCCCTAACCAACACATATTACATAGATGTGGCAGCCCAGGGGAGAGAAAAGAAAAGGAAAAAACAAAATGCTGGTATAAGGTAAAAATCAGAAAAGAAAACAAGATGCACAGTTGATTCTCAATGACAAAATGAGCCCAAAGAATTTTAAAAAGAACCCAAAAAAAATCACGTCACCTAATTGATGAGAGTTTTCTTCAATCTGCAACTGAAGATTGCGGTGCACCCGAATCAACAGAGTAAGCCTGCTGCTCCTCTGCATCATCACTGATTATGTCGCCCAGTGGGTCGTGCTGTTGCTGTAAGCTAGAACGACAAAGCTCCTCAATTCGGCTACTCACCTCAGCCATTGAAGGGCGCTTGTCAGGGTACTGAGCAACACAGTCGATGGCAAGCTGCAATAGCTGAACCATTTCTTCCTCAACATTTTGATACCGAAGGAGCTCCAGGTCAAACACCTCCGCAGTCCATTCCTCTCGAACCACAGACTGGACCCATCTTGGCAGGTCCACACCCTCCTCATTCAAGTGAGCATGCATGGGAGCCTTACCTGTTAGCATTTCCAATAGCAGTACACCGAAACTGTAGACGTCTGCTTTCTGGGAGACTTTCCTAGTATCTGTGACCTCTGGTGCCCGGTAGCCTGCAATGCGGTTGGGAGTAGAGGATGGTCCAACAACTTGAGAAAGGCCGAAATCGGAGACACGGGCTTCGTAGGACTTAGTGAGGAGGACATTTGATGACTTGATGTTTCCATGGGCAACTGTTGGGCCCTGTGAATGGAGGAACGCAATCCCGCGTGCAGCTCCTAGGGCAATTGCAGATCTTGTTTCCCAGTTTAATGGTGTCCTGCCAGCTCCTCTGTTTCCTGTAATGAAGAAAAATGAAAGGATAAATTATAGTAAATAGAAAGGTAAGTAGGCATTAGGTTCTGTTTTCTGTCAACTCTCTTTGCGAACCTAAAAGTTGTTTTATCCTCTAAAACATCACACTTCTAGGGAGACAAGAGAGAGAGAGAGAGAGAGAGATTTTCCAACTTATGAGAGAGGGGAAAAATAGAACTTAAATCCTGCATATGAAACCACAGGTATAAGACACCAAAACAAATACAATTCGTTCATTGTATAAAAACAAAGTCTGCAATATGTATGACTGTTAGATAACCATGTAATGACCACAGTAATTCGCACAAGATGATTCGAGAAAATCTCAATAAAGATATCTAAGGTGAGTTTCAGTAAAAGAAAGGAGAAAAACTGTTACATTCCATGCTACAAAGGACTCATCACATAACAAGTATTACTAACGGGGGAAAGAATGGAATCTGTTTTCTGTTATGGCATCACTATATGCCCCCTCCTGAATACAATGAAAGGCCTGGGAGCAGGGGAGGAGGGAGAGGGAGGGGGAGGGGGCTGGGTTTCAAGGGGTTGCACCCCCAAAATTTTTTGGAAAGCCCAATATGTGCAAGGGCTTCCCTTCAAAATTTAGCACCTCATGTAATGACCCCGCCAAATTTGATCCTGTTAAAAATCCATTAGTAATCACATGTTAAAACTCTTGCAATAAACAAAGTATAAAGCTTACTTGATTGGTGTAAAAATCATATTAAACCAAAAAAATTGCTAAAAGGAGATTGAACTCTTATGAGTTTTTTAATTGGACCACCTGTGAAGCTACATGGACCTAAACATATAGAGTAATATTCAAATGATAGGAATGGAGACGTGAATAACATTTTAATAATTATTTAATCTGTTTAAACCCAGAGCAATCCACCATCAGCACTGTGGGATTCACTCCCTTCCTTCTGGACCCCCACACGGAGAAGTCCTTGCTCCATCCCTACCTGGAAACCTCACATGTAACTAGGGACAAAACCAAATTTTTGGGGCCGAGGGGCCATTAAATAGGAATATGGATTTACAATGGTGCTATAGTAATGCTCTAGACAAAGTTGATGAAAAATAAAAGTTTCAACGTAGTAGTGAATAATGCAAATCTTAAAACAAAAACAAGAAATACTTAATGATATAAGAACATACTAACAATGAAAAGATTATGGTACACTCTTCCTCTCCTATTATAAAATAAAAATAAAAATAAAAAATTTAAAAAAAAGTTGAGATTTTTTGTGATATTAGTTACAAACAATTGTGATTATATTAAGGGCGCAACATAAAAAAATCTTAATTATGAACCATTATGATTATATATAAAATATTAAAATGTCACGAAATGAGAAAAGTTACGAATCATTCTAATTTTATCACGAATCAATATAATAAAGTTACGGAAAGTATTCTTTCTTTTAGGCATGTATATTATAGCCTTTCCCTAACAATGAATTTTAAAAATATATAATTAACTCCACATTGTCCATTCATTAGAATAAAGAAATATATAATCAATAATAATAAATTGATTGATTACAGGATATTTTAATATAAATAGGTATTTCATCATAAATTACTATTCTAAGTCCAACTAATGAATAAAGAAAAAGAACAAACAAAGAGCTCTTTCATTTGAGATAGGAAAAAGAGTTCATAGATGTTCAATTGGAGAGGGGCCAAATAAGTATAAAATGAAAAGCACAGGCTATTTGCCAATACTAATAACAGTATGTTCAAGTGAGTAGGGGGGCCATGGCCCCTCACTGTCTCTTCTATGGTCCATCCTTGCATGTAACAGCCACTGGGTTACAGGAGGATGGCAGTGCATCTTGAGCCCATATGAAGGCAAGGTAATTGAAGCAATGCCCATAAAACAAGATCATTTTGGCTTTAAAGACAAATACTGCATTATGTTATGTATCATTCACATTTGGGACATTTCAAGTCAGTTAAAAAGGAATTCAACTCCAGTAGACCAGGAATCAGAGTCAGTTCTTTTGTTCTTTTTCCTTGTTTTGGAATTTTAATTGATTTTTGTAAGCAAATTTATGAAGAGCAGCAATAGAATATAAGATCTCCTCTCTAATACCATGTGTGGATCTAAGGTCCTGAAAAAATGGTAATTAAAATATATCACTTTTTTCAGTTCAAGAAAGCTAATCATGACTCAACCTATGCTCAATGGAGTCAATACTAAACTTGGCAAACAACAAAAAGACTTCTTTCTTGCACATAAATTGCAATAACCAATAGCAAACACATATTAAATCAGCAACAAAGTATAATTCTTTATCTATAGAAAGCTGATATATCCACAAAATGCATCACAAAGAAACAGAGAATCAAAACAAAAAAATCAATCCAAGGCAATGACACGATGCAAATACTAAAAAGATAACCATGATGATGAAGATGTAGCAAAAAACAATACCCCACAATTATAATCTCAAGCATTCCAAAAGACAAAGCAGAGTGTGAAATACATAAGTGTTTCTTTACCGTGCAAGAGTGCAGAAAAGCTTCCCATTGGCATGTAATCATAGACAAGAAGCTTCTCATCCCTGCTATAGTAATAAGCCATCAAGGGTACCAAATTCTCATGATTCAGGACTCCAACAGCCTCTATCTTCTCCCTAAATTCCTTCTCCGGCACGGTCACATCCCTCAACCTCTTCACTGCCACCACCGTCCCCGTCTCCAAAACCGCCTTATACGCCGTCCCAAACGTTCCTTTCCCCAAAACCTCCGCCGAAGCCTTCAACAAATCTTCCAAATCAAAACCCCTCTCAGACTTGCCAAAAAACACTAAGCTCTTACTCCCACTCCCACTCACATTCACATTCACATCCCCTTTCCTGGCCGCCATTGCCGGATACCCAGTACCCGAATCATCTCCTCTGCCCGGAATTTCAACTTCAGTCTGCTTCACCGCAGCAACCTCCTTCGAATCCGCTTTCTCGCTACTCTTTTTCAAGCACAAAAAGATCAAAATTGCCACAAGGACCAATAAGCCAATTACAGATCCGATTATAATTCCGGCAATAGCACCACCTGAGAGTTTCTTTTTGGTCGGAATTGAAGTGCCATTGCAAGAAGTGAGCGGTTCGCCGCAAAGAGAATTGCCGGAAAATGCGCTGGCGGGCTGTCGAGCGAGAATGGAAGGGATCGGACCGGTCAAATGATTGTTGGAGACATTGAACTGAGCGAGAGTGGTCATATTGAGGTCTGGGATGGAACCAGAGAGGTTATTGTTTTGGAGAAAAAGAGTGGCGAGACGAGTGAGATTGTTGAAAGAGAGTGAGATGGGACCGGAGAAGTGGTTGGAAGCGAGGTTGAGGCGGACGAGGTAGGGGAGAGAGAAGAGAAAGTCGGGGATTGGGCCGGAGAAGAGGTTGTCTTGGAGGTAGAGGTTGCGGAGGGAGGAGAGGGAGGAGAAGTCGGAGGGGAGTGGGCCGGAGAGGGAGTTGAAGCGGAGGCTGAGGGTGTGGAGGTGGGTCAGATTGGAGATGGAGTTGGGAGGGAGTTGGCCGGAGAGGCCCATGGCGGGGAGGCGGAGCTGGGTGACGGAGGAGGAGTTGTCGCAGGAGACGCCGGGCCAGAAACATGGGGTGGCTTCGGAGAGGTTCCAGAGGAGGGATCTGCCTCCGACGGCGGAGCGGAGGGCCAGGAGGGCTGCTCTGTCGGAGGCCAGGTCGGGTTTAGCGGTGGGGAAGAGGAGGAGGAGGAGGAGGAGGAGACAGAGGATATAAGGGTTCATTTTTCAAGGAAGGTTTGCTTGGTTTTTTTGAGGCTGTGAAGTGTGAAGTGAGAGTTTCATGAAGGTCTTGTTATGATTATTGTCTCTACTGGTTGATTGTTTCTGATTTTCTCAGAGAGAGAAAGTGGAGGGGGAAGGAGGAGGGAGAGGTCGGTGATTGGATGGATGGATGCGTATTAAAAACCCGATTGAATCCCCAAAATTTGGACTTGTTTGCAACATAGGTATTACGTATTGTGTTTGGTTTGAATTTTTCGGATTAAATTTTTTGAAAATTAAATTTTTTAATTTTTTTATTTTTAGTAAATATTTTTAAAATTTTAAATATTTTTTTTTATTTTTTTAGATGCACCTTACTTAGATGTGTCTAAAAATTAAAAAAATTATGAAAAATATTTTAAAAAATTAAGAAATATATAAAAATACAAAAAATATACTAAATTCTTGTATTTTTTTATATTTTTGATATTTAGTGAATTTTTAAAGGATTTTTTTTACAATTTTTTTACTTTTTAGGTGTATTAATGTTAGGTGTGTCTAAAAAGTAAAAAATTTGCATAAAATATTAAAAAAATCAGTAAAAACAAAAAAACACGAAAAATAAGAGTGTAGAATTTTTTAAAAATTATTTTTAAAAAATGGGAACGAAAAAAATTAAGGTAAAGTATACTGACGGTATTGAGGTTTATATTTATTATAATTCTTCTTCTCACGTTTTAAAAATTATATTTTTCTCTTTAAAATTTAAAAATTTATTATAAATTCTCTTTCATTAATTTAATTTTGTTAGGTGTGTCTAAAAAGTAAAAAATTTGCATAAAATATTAAAAAAAATCAGTAAAAACAAAAAAACACGAAAAATAAGAATAGAATTTTTTGAAAACTATTTTTAAAAAATGGGAACGAAAAAAATTAAGGTAAAGTATACTGACGGTATTGAGGTTTATATTTATTATAATTCTTCTTCTCACGTTTTAAAAATTATATTTTTTTCTTTAAAATTTAAAATTTTATTATAAATTCTCTTTCAGTAATTTAATTTTTTTAAATACAAATTTTATCCTCATTAGGTAAATTACATTGATATCTCTTACATTTAAAAAATTACAATTCCCTCCCTAAAATTTAAAGTAGCATTACCAATTGCCCCATCGATTAGTATTAGTTGGAAAAAAAATTCATTGAAAAAAAAAATAAAGTGAAAAAAATTTTGTTAGTAAAATTTTTAAATTTTTAATTAAAAACCAACATAAACTCATTTTTTGAATTTACGTTTTTTTCTCAAATTTACAAACTGAGACAATCATTTATAAATTAAAAAAATTATCAAACAAGTTTTTATGACAGTTTTTTAAATTTTTGTAAATATAAATTGAAAACTGAAAACGAAATAATTAGCTTCAGATGGTAAATATGTCATAAAATTAATAAATAATTAAATAAGTTACCAACGTAAGAAATGATTTATCAAAAGATTCTTATGCTATGTATGGTTTGATTTTTAAAAAAAAAAATTAAAATTAAAAATTAATTTGGTTAAGAAATAAAAAATAATTATCATTTTTATATAATTTTTTATCTTTTGAGTGGTTATAAATAATTTTTTACAAATTAAATTGAAACAGCCATACGTATGTATATAATTTGTCCAAAACTTAAAATGATAATTATTTTTTATTTTTTATTTCTTAACCAAATTAATTTTTAATTTTCAAAAAAAATTCTAAAAATCAAACAATACATAGCCTAAGAATCTTTTGATAAGTCATTTCTTACGTTGGTAACTTATTAATTATTTGTTAATTTTACTACATTTTTACCATCTAAAGCCTGTTTGGTAACCATTTCGTTTTCATTTTTCAATTTATATTTACAAAAATTTTAAAAACTGTCATAAAAACTTGTTTGATAATTTTTTTGGTTTATAAATGGTTGTCTCAGTTTGTAAATTTAAGAGAAAAACATAAATTCAAAAAATGAGTTTATGTTGGTTTTTAAACAGAAATTTTAAAATTTTACTAACAAAATTTTTTTTCAATTAATTTTTTTTAAATAATTTTTTTTTCAAATAATTTTTTTCCCAACTAATACTAACCAAGGGGGCAATTGGTAATGCTACTTTAAACCTTAGGGAGGGGATTGTAATTTCAAAAATGTGAGGGATGTCAATGTAATTTACTTAGTGAGGGAAAAATTAGTATTTAAAAAAATTAAATTGTTGAGGAGAAATCTGTAATGAAATTTTAAATCTCATGGAAGGAGATGTAATTTCCAAAACGTGAGGGGGAACTGTAATAAACATAAACCTTAAGGAGTGTCGGTATAATTTACCCAAAAAATTACTAATATATGAAGGGTGTAAATAATATTTGTATTTTATAGTTTTTTATTTAAATTTTATTATAGACACATTTACATTTTTATATGTTTGTAATTTTTTTTCACAACTCCCACCTACATATAGTTCTCCAAAAATTATTGGTTGAGCTAAGGCACCTATATGTTTTTGGTCAATCACAAATTATTATGTCATTTTATGTTTCCTAATCATCTAATATAAATTGTGAATCCCATTCCTCCATCAATCACAATGCATATAGAATATTACGTGATATTATCCCTGAACTAATCAATAATTTCTTATTTGAATGGTGCACAAAAAAAAATTATGACAATATTTGATTTAGGATTTAAATTAATATTTGGATTAAAAAAATAAAACATATGTTTGCTTAACAATTTTTTTTTTTTATCTTTCGCATCTCTCTTTTTTTTATTAATAAATCAATTAATCATTTTTTCTCTCTCCTCTTATTCTCTTAAATTTTCTCTCACACTCATTTATTCAATTAAAAAAAAACAATTTAGTATTTTTGGTTTCAGTTTTCTGAAAATTGAATTTTTTATTTTTTTTATTTTTTGTTTTTAGTAAATATTTTTAAAATTTTAAGTAATTTTTTTACTTTGTTAAATGCACCTTACTTAGATGTATCTAAATAGTGAAATATTTGTGAAAAGTATTTTTAAAATTAATAAATACACAAAATACAAAAAAAGATGTATTGATTTTTTATATTTTTAGTATTTAGTGAATTTTTTTTAAAAAAAAATCACAAATATTATACTTTTTAAGCTTATTAGGTGTGTCTAAAAATTTTAAAAAAAAAACTTAAAATATTAAAATATTTAAAAAATTCAGTGAAAATAAAAAAATATAAAAAAAAAAGTAAAATTTTCTAAAAGTGATTTCTAAATTCTAAAATCAAACTGAGTGATTATTTCCCAGTGGAAGTAGAAAATCTAATTTAGAGCATCCACAACGGATGTGTTAAAATTATTTGTTAAAGTGTATATTATATGACAAAAAGTGATAAAAATAGGGCCAAAAAATGTGTGTTAAGGTGTGTTAAAAGTTTGTTAATTGTAGAGAGTGGGTGGTGATGCAATGAATGTGTTAAGGGGTGTGTTAAATATATATATATATATATATATAATAAAATAAAACCGTAAATATATGTAATATATATTATATTAGAAGGTTTCTGTGTTGTATCTGACTCATGATCTGAATCTCCGATTTGATTTGCCTCATCTTCTTTTTCAAAAGTTTACTATCTTCATTGGTTAATTCTACTGCTTTTTTTTGGGGTTGAATAATCTTCTTTATAGCTATCATATTTCCATCCCACCATAATTATGTATAAACCATACAAAATAAGGATTGTACATAATTGAAAAACTTGACTAGCATGCCAATATCAATCGATCCATCCAATTGTAATGGTCAATAACCTACTAGAATGAAGGCAACATAGTTGTACCATATGTAAGCAAACCAACGATAAGCAAACCAACGATCAACATATAGGTATCGATCAAGTCATGTAGCACCAATATGTAGAGATTATAACTTTCTTTTTTTTTTTTTTTTTTTTTTTTTTTTCGGGGGGATATGAGATTAGGTGGTGAAATGGCCATTTTGACCATCTACTATTTAATTATGTATTATATTTAGCAAAATTCAATAAAATTTAAATGTCTCAATTTAAAAATAAAATATTTTTATTTAACTTTTTATTGATTTTTCATTTATTTGTGTGTTTAAATAATTTTTTATAGATATTTTATTGATGTTTTATTTTAAAATTTTGTTTATATTTTATTTAATTTCATTATTTAAATTTTAATAATTTTTTTATTTAATTTCATTATTATTTTTAAAATAAATTTATTTAATTGTGTAAAAAATAAAATAAAATAAATTTTTATTTAATCTAGTTAAAAATAATTAAAATATTAAAGATATGTTTAATATTGCGATAACTTAGTAAATAATTAAAGTGGGTAAAATAACCATTTGAACATTTATCTTTCTCAATAATATTCTAAACAAATGTAGGATTTGTTTCCATCCAACTAAATAGTTCTCTCCAAACATTTAATCTCATGACTAAACAAACATGGGATACTAATTCAATTCAATCAAAAAGTCCGGAGATAATATATTCCAGAACTAATAGTTCAGTAGATTCTAATATCCCCTTATCCAGTCTGTGCAAACAAATACACTCTTAGTGCATCCATTATGGATGCTCTTAGCCTTGGTTTGTCAAATCATTTGGGCTAAATAATCAAAAAAGATAATAATAATAATAAAAAAAAAAAGCTCCAAAATCACAAAAAGTGTTATAAAATTATCAAACCAACTCACATATACAAATAAAAAGTCAAAAAAAAAACACAGTTTTATCATTCCAATGCCAAAAAAATAAAAAATAAAAAAATAAGGCCAAGTTTGGCATCTATTAAATAATATAAAAAGTTAAAAAGTCACTATCTTATTTAAATCATATCATCTTATTTAAATCACATCACCTCTCTAACACATCACATCAAACCCAACCCAAACTCAACCCATATAAGTCAATAAGTCAAAAAGTATACTTTTTTAAAACATCCCAAACCAACCCTAATGCTAAAAAACCAAAACAAAAAAACCAAATAAACAAAAAAAAATTCAAACTAAAAAAATCTGAATTCATCCCCCTTTTTTTCTCACCCCCTTTGACCCCCTCTCTCTCTCATTGGTTACCTTTTCTTTTTCTTTTTCTTTTTTTTCCTGCTCCTCCAATCACCACCCGTCACGTGGCAAAAGGGGGTGAGGGAGTG